GTGCAGCCCTAGTATTAGGCACAGTCACTATGTGAAGGTTTATCAGCAAAAGTGACTTAAATACAAGCTTTACTAAGTAGCTGTTTACTTGCAATGCATTCAGACTTACTTAGATTGGCTTCAGTCACAGCTGCTTTCCCACAAAGAGAAAAATCTTGACCCTCCTCCATTGTATGCTGTTTTAAAAGAGACAGAGATGAAATTCTTCAGTCCTCAGCCTACAGAAGACGACGCTTTCAAGACAAAAACTGGATGGATAATGCATGACAAATCAGCATGATTAAGATCTGACAGACCAAACAAAATAACAGTGGACGAGAACGTTTCCCTGCTTTTACAATGACAAATTTGTCCTAAATTTGTATGAAGATGAATGACTGAAACTAAACAGTTAAAACTGTAGCTGATATTTCAAAATGTTATGATCTTAATAATAATTATTTACGTTTTTCTTGCACATTTTTTATCTTCCCCTACTAAAACCCATAAAGAGTAATAGTTCTAATACATCACAGTGAGAAAAAGTGCATCATGGCACAAACAACAAGTAACAACCATTTCCTTATTGCGTCAAGTCGTTTTATTTTATGTTTTGTATTTTCATAAAATGTCTTGGATCCAGGCCATGTCAAATTTCTCTGAAAAAAATCACATTAGTGTTAAAAATTTCAGGTCCCTACTGTCATTAGTTTTCATCTTTTCAGAGGGAATTTGAAATTTCACTATCTGGAAAACTACTTGAGCACGGCCCTTCGAATATTTAGGGTACTATGGCTCAACACCACTACCTTCATCCATTAAAATGCTTTTTTCAGAAAACTATTATTTCAGAATGGACCTGAAATTTGACATAACTCTCATAAAGATGAAAATATTTGGCCTGAGTTTTTTCAGACAAATGTGAGACTTTGCTTTAAGCATCTGCAAAGAAACAACACTGACACTCTGTATTCCCTAAAAAAGAAAACAAGTTGTTTATATTTTATTCTCATTATAATAAAATTTCATGTTACTAAATTGAATCTTTTCAGTTAATCAATCAGACTGATTACTAACAATCTGACTTTCAAACAAAACACATTAAATTCTTTGTTTTTACAAAATTACATTTTCACACAGAGAAACAGTTTACTTTTCACTTGTAAGAACTGCATATATCAGCAACTACATTTCTAATATGTCTGTATTTTATCAAGCATATGCCCAGTTCATGTGTTCATCTGTGATTCAATCCCCCATCTCTTTGTATGTTGTCTCAACCAGACGTTCCTGTAATTTTAAAGTGATTTTCAACACTACCAGGCTTTCTGAAGCTCTTTCAAAGTGTTTCTTTGGACACTGGGAGCATTTTCATCCATTTCTGTACCACCTTCAGAGTATTTTTGTTTTCAAGCCATTTAGCTTAATTATTGAATTATTTGAGTATAAAAACAAACCTAAGTGAAGCGATGACAGCATGTTTATACATATCAGACTACTTATTAGCAGCCTGTCACAAAACATATTATGTGTTGTCATTTAGTTTTAGTTTGTTTGAGCTTATGAAAAATGACAATGATAGCACAGTCTGACAGACATATAATAGTATTTTTGGATGAACAAGGTGATTCCAAAAGAGCTGTTGTCCAAACATATATGCTGAGATATAGTACATCTCAATGGTGTGTAGGGCTGGGCCATATTATACCGTTCACGGTAATACCGGTATAATGTTAGGCAACGATAGGAAAATGAAATATCGCGATAGAACATGAGTAAAACGCACATGCGCAGTGCCTTTGTTTTCATACCTACTTGGCCGATTGTTGAGTGAAACAGATGAACCAGAATTGGTTTGTAAAAATGGTGCAACTTCAGTGATGTGGAACTGGTTTGGTGTTTGTCCGTCAGATACACGACAAAGCACATTTTTTTGCAGAACATGCAAGCGGCCGTCGGACTAAGATGCTCTTAAATCTGGGAGTAATCTGGGTCCTAAACTCCGTATGCTTCAGGTCAAATGAACACTGCAGCATCACTAAGAGTTAAAAACTGTCTAAATTCTTTCATCTTTAATAAAACGATCAGCATTGCTGCTTTACCAGGTGTAACTATGAAGTTTAACTTCCAGGCATCCATGAAAACAAAATTTATTACATTTAACGGAGTTAGAAGCTAGCAGGAAGCTAGCGGAAGTTAGCTCGCTAGTTTCGCTAGTTACCTAAGCATGATATTGCATGTTCTGACTGAGAGATTTCTGAAAAAAATCAAACGTACAGCTCTGCTATCACTTCCAACATAAATGAAGACAGGAAACTAAACAGCAGTGACGTTTGTAGGGTTACTGAAGTTGGGCTAGCTGGTATATAATGATGTGCTACGTGATCGCTAGCGACACAGCTATGTTAGCATAACATAAACAGTGAAGCTGGAGGACAAACACTAACACTTTTCCACTTATAAAAGTTAACGTTAAGGTTCCTCATGGTTAGAGACAAATGCAATCGCATGGCAGGATGCTGTAAAAGGACCAATCTTCAGTCAGGAGAACAACTGAGATAATCCATCCACAATACGAGGTTAGTCATTAATATACTGCAACAACATGGGAATAGAGCAGCTGCCAGAGAATTCAACATTAATGAATCAATGGTACAGAAGTGGAGGAAGCAAGAAGAATGAGTTTAATAAAGTTTGATTTATCTGACTGCTTTGTTTCGCTTAATGTGCCTTATAATCCCGTGCACCTTATGGTCCGAAAAATGCGTACTGCACACTGCAGTTTAATGTTGCAAAGCACCTCTTTTTAACTTCAGTGGATATTATACATGGTTATGCTCAGGATATGTCAGCCCATTTCTACTGGAAATGCCTTTTGGTTAAACTTTCAGCGAGGAATTTGCATTTGCACTGTTACATTTTTATAAAGCTTTAATGTACATAAAAACCAGCTTCTTGTTTAAGTGAAAATAAATGATAGGTTGTCTTTTTGCGCTAGTAATGTTGTGGAGTTGTATTTTGTCTCGCATCAATTATATCGTCAGTTATATCGTTATCGCAAATTTTCAAATATATATCGTGATAAATATTTTTGGCCATATCGCCCTGCTCTAATGGTGTGCATTGTGTCTTTAATAAATCTGAGGAAGCTGGATCTTGTCAAAACTGATAGAATGCACACAGATTTTTACCACAATGCGATACAATTTGGAAAGCATCTGATTGGCTACAACTTCATTTTTCAGCATGACAATGATCCCTGTCAATGTAGTAAAAGCACACCTGGATAGAAAAGCACACAACTGAACACTATCAGTCACAGGCTGACCTCAACATCACTGAAGCAGTGTGGGATGATATTGGCAGAGAACGGAACAAAGAGCAAGCAACTTCCAAAGAAAACCTTTGAATGCCCTTCAAGAAGCCTGGAGAAGATTTCTTAAAGAAATGACAATAAAGCATGTCTAAAACAATCAAGGCTGCACTGAAGAATATAGATGGTCCTATCAAACATTGACTTTCAAACTTGTTAGAATTGTAGAAACTCAGTTTTTACCTTGTATATTACATTTCCACATATGTTTACATATGTTACAGTGATTTGTTGTACCCAGCCATTACCCATTTTTCTAAATATAGCTGGTACTAGTAAAAAATTTAATGTTACAAAAGTGTGTGACATATATTCTAACTAGTTAAAATTTCAAAACGACATATTCATAGTTGAATTTTTACTTCTCAAATAACATTTAATGATCTACAGTAAACACTGTTTTCAGGAGCAACTTAAGTGATCATCATAATTATTTTTAACTGATTAAAACTGAATTAAAGAGAACTACAACTAGTCTAAAGTAGGTAACAAACATGTAAATTATAAAATAAAAATATTAAATATAAATGCCTGCAATGGTGTTTGAATACATGTCAGTTATAAGTTTTTGACTAGCTATTAAAGTTATGCAAAGACAAAGTTATTAATACCATGTTGAAAAATAAAAAAGATCTCTGGGTATCTAATTATAGATGTTACTTATCAAAGTGAATTTCTAAAAAGTTGGTCTGTAATTATAACTAGTCAAAATATAGATGAATAAATAAAATTACCATATCTATGGCTGTTAAATACTACAGGGGTGCATGTCATAGCAGATCAAACGTACAAAACAACAACTAAACATTCTGCAGAAATAATATATTTAAGTGCACTTGTATGACGAACATGTATATCACATACTAATTTATCTTGTGAGAGGGGCTAAGCTATGTAAAGAATCCTTATTGGATACTATGTGTGTTTTATTATCAGTAAACATGCCTAATTAATCCCTAACATGTATAAATACATCGAAATATGTGACTATTCCTGTGATTTAATGGCGTTATAAGCAGGTTTTTCGGGAAAAAAGGATTGTAGCTACATCTCTAAGTGAATGCTAATGCTGGACTAAATCTACATGCTAATGCTAGCCTTCTGAGCAACATGCTACTATTAGCACCTACTTTACTAGCACAAAACTAAGCATGCAAAAGTGCAATAATCCGTGATTAATACCTGAGCAGAAAGATGTGCTGGGTTCTGTAGCGTTCCCAAATAATTTGAACTGTATGCGCTGTAAATTTATGATTTAGTAGTACAAGTTCTTACCCAGAAAGAAAAACACCAGGCGCCTGGGACACGCTCCCTCTCAGAATACAGCATGAAGGGGTGGAGACCGTGCGCTGCAACGATTGGCTGGTTTTACAGAAGGCGGGCATTTGTCGAGGTCTCAACGAATCATTGCTGCGAAACGGCCGTGAAGCCCCACAGAAGAAGAAACTGGGAACGACAGATTTTCAACTTTAACTGTGTTGTTGGTTAACATGTTATCCTATAGGATGTTAGTTTTCATTGAAAAGACTGCACTTTTATATATTTATTGTTAAATTGCGTGTTTCTATGCAAATAATGATTTTAAATTTTTATTAATTTTTTCATAATGAGTAGGTGGATTTTTTTAAATGCTCTCAGTTTTGTGGGAAATGCAACTCCAAACGTAAATAAATGATTTAAAGTTTTTTTAAAAAAAATATATATTTATATTTAGTCTGCGTGGAATTGCAGCTGAATGTGTTATAACGACGGTAATATTTTGTTACTTGAAGACATTTAATAAAGTTTTTTGTTAAAAAAAAAAACCAACAACAATGCGAAGTGCATTATGGGTCCACTTATTGCAGTTGTCTTCGTGATCTAGCGGCAGGTAATGTAAAACAGCAATTTATGAATGTATTGTTTAAAAAGCATTTCTGTTAATAACATTTGTTTAATTATCGACAGGCTCTGATAATGCTTACTGCCGCCGTCGCAATGATTTCCATGCCGTATTTTGTCATATTGTGCTCCAGGGCGATTTGTGGGAACTAGCTCAGTTAACTGATGTCAGGTAGCGTTAGCTAACTCTCTAAACGATGGCTAGGTAGGTAAGAGCTTAGTAATAATAAAATGTTAATATATTGTGTTTGATCGTCATTTCTCGTGCTTCACATAAAGTCGTCGGTAGAGCCGTTTTCTGTTTGCAAACAATGAACATGCGCGCGCAGTTTTGAAGTGGAAAACTGCTTGTTAGCAAACGTGAGCAACAAATTTCTGTTAATATGGCTCATATCGTTACATAAAACTACAACAAAACTACAAATGCATTCAGTAAAATCCACCTTAGCCTCTTTCAGGATGCAGTTACTGTACCCCACATTGAAACTCCAAACAATAGAAAACAGGGACAAATTAAATAAATTACAGTTCTGCAGCGCAAAATTGGATCCTTGGCTTCATGTGGCTGTAACAACTCGGCATTGTTATAGATGTGGTCATCATTGTGATATTTGCAGAGGACAATGTGAGATGTAGTGAAGGTAGGTAGAAGGTGTAAGTGAGTTTGGAGAGGTGGAGGTATGCTCTTAAGATAAATGAAAGTCAGCAGAAGCTAGACATATCCACGTTTGTGAATGAGATGGAGACTGGTGTGATAGAGAAGTTGCAAGGTATAGAGTTAGTGAAGTTAGTGTTAGTTTAAATACCTGGGGTCAGTCATCCTAAGGACAGTGCACAAAAGAGATGAAGAAGATGGAGTGGGTGGAGATGGGGTGATTTGTGACAGAAGCATAGCAGCAAGACTTAAATGGAAGGTTTACAAGATGGTAGTGAGACCTGCTAGGATTTATGGTTTGAAGATGTTGGAGCTGAAGGTGTTAGAGTTGGAAGATTTTCTTTGGAAGGGACTAGGATGGATATCAGAGGGACAGTCATTTGGAGAACACGCTTGATAGGCAAAGCTAAAAATGGTTTGGGCATGTGCAGCGGAGGGATAGTGAATATATTTTACAAGGGATGCTGAATATGGAAATGCCAGACAGGAGGAAGACTGCAGAGGAGATCCATGGATGCATTGAAGGAGGACATACAGAAGGGTGGGTGTGACAGATGATGGTAGGGAGAGGATGAGATGGAGGCAGATGGAAGCAGGTAAAGAAGGTGACTAACATAAATAGCAACTTTCTAGATGTTTGGTCATACCACAGTAGATTTTTGTATTTATATGTTATCCCAGCTTTAACTATCATATATTGGCTTTGAATATTTCAGCTTGTGTAGAATTAATTAAAAAATCAGAAAGCCTCTTAATGTTCACTGTTCACAATACCACGTTTTGACTTACGGGCCTGTATAACAAACTTTCACTGGCCTCTACAATATTTTTAATGACCCAAAGAAGCCAATTTAATTGTTTTCAATACTGGAAGCTCTATCTTTAATAATGTAGTATAAAATAATAGTAGACTTATATTTTATAAAGTTACATCTCCCAAATAAATGGTAGCTAAAGCTGTAAAATAATTGTCATGTATAACATTATCTAGCCCTCTTTCCCTGCAGGAATCACAGCTGTTAGCCTTCGGCTATAAAATCTGCCTTTTTTAATGATCATTTCAAACTGAATAAACAGACTGCATACAGACAGCTCTGCTTTATTTAGTCGCACTTTGCAAATACTACCTGCATGAAAAAATACTAATTTGTCGGTTCATTTTTGGCCAGTGAATTGATACATGGAAACTGGCCCCAGTGGGCCACTAGTTATTTTGAACCCTGCAGCTGTAATTTGCTTACCCTTTGTTATCAAAATACATCAAATGTCTCAGTTTAAAAACAGATGTCTGTAGTCTACAGTGGGGCAAAAAAGTATTTAGTCAGCCACCGATTGTGCAAGTTCCCCCACTTAAAATGATGACAGAGGTCAGTAATTTGCACCAGAGGTACACTTCAACTGTGAGAGACAGAATGTGAAAAAAAAATCCATGAATCCACATGGTAGGATTTGTAAAGAATTTATTCGTAAATCAGGGTGGAAAATAAGTATTTGGTCACCTCAAACAAGGAAAATCTCTGGCTCTCACAGACCTGTAACGTCTTCTGTAAGAAGCTTTTCTGTCCCCCACTCGTTACCTGTATGAATGGCACCTGTTTGAACTCATCATCTGTATAAAAGACACCTGTCCACAGCCTCAAACAGTCAGACTCCAAACTCCGCCATGGCCAAGACCAAAGAGCTTTCGAAGGACACCAGGAAAAGTATTGTAGACCTGCACCAGACTGGGAAGAGTGAATCTACAATAGGCAAGCAGCTTGGTGTGAAAAAATCAACTGTGGGAGCAATCATCAGAAAATGGAAGACATACAAGACCACTGATAATCTCCCTCGATCTGGGGCTCCACGCAAGATCTCATCCCGTGGGGTCAAAATGATCATGAGAACGGTGAGCAAAGATCCCAGAACCACACGGGGGGACCTGGTGAATGACCTGCAGAGAGCTGGGACCAAAGTAACAAAGGTCACCATCAGTAACACACTACAACGGCAGGGAATCAAATCCCGCAGTGCCAGACGTGTTCCGCTGCTGAAGCCAGTGCATGTCCAGGCCCGTCTGAAGTTTGCCAGAGAGCACATGGATGATACAGCAGAGGATTGGGAGAATGTCATGTGGTCAGATGAAACCAAAGTAGAACTTTTTGGTATAAACTCAACTCGTCGTGTTTGGAGGAAGAAGAATACTGAGTTGCATCCCAAGAACACCATACCTACTGTGAAGCATGGGGGTGGAAACATCATGCTATGGGGCTGTTTTTCTGCCAAGGGGACAGGACGACTGATCCGTGTTAAGGACAGAATGAATGGGGCCATGTATCGTGAGATTTTGAGCCAAAACCTCCTTCCATCAGTGAGAACTTTGAAGATGAAACGAGGCTGGGTCTTCCAACATGACAATGATCCAAAACACACCGCCCGGGCAACAAAGGAGTGGCTCCGTAAGAAGCATTTGAAAGTCCTGGAGTGGCCTAGCCAGTCTCCAGACCTCAACCCCATAGAAAATCTGTGGCGGGAGTTGAAAGTCCGTGTTGCTCGGCGACAGCCCCAAAACATCACTGCTCTCGAGAAGATCTGCATGGAGGAATGGGCCAAAATACCAGCTACTGTGTGTGCAAACCTGGTAAAGACCTATAGTAAACGTTTGACCTCTGTTATTGCCAACAAAGGTTATGTTACAAAGTATTGAGTTGTATTTTTGTTATTGACCAAATACTTATTTTCCACCCTGATTTACGAATAAATTCTTTACAAATCCTACCATGTGGATTCATGGATTTTTTTTTTCACATTCTGTCTCTCACAGTTGAAGTGTACCTCTGGTGCAAATTACTGACCTCTGTCATCATTTTAGGTGGGGGAACTTGCACAATCGGTGGCTGACTAAATACTTTTTTGCCCCACTGTAAGTAAAGTTTACAGATGGAGCAGTATGTCACAAAAATGTATCCTCTGCAGAGGAAAACAACACATCACACCAAATCTCTTCCCCCATCTACTGACACACACCAAGCTCTTCAAGAAAGACTTTTATCAACAAACCTGTTCAACTCTGAGCATGCCAACTGTGTAGTTATTCGAACTTTTACTTTAGTGAGATTACCTATTGTGAATAGTTACAAGTGTTCTGTGTATAAAAACTCCTCATTACTTATTTGCAGAAACAGACCTGGTGCAGGATGTTTTGCATCTGTACAGCTGAGTGGGAATTTTGTGCCTAAATATTGGGAGTTCTGAACAATCAATTCTTAAGCAATCTGATATTTTATGTGCAGTCTACAATATGCAAATAGGGAGGTCAATTTAAAGTCATGTTGATACATCCTCGTTCACTTTATCTAACCATAATTTAGACGTGACTTTTACAGTTTTGTTTTTGTTGCCACTTTTCTCACTTCACTATGTGTGTTTTGTTTTACCCCCAGTGGAGATCAGATTACTCTCACAGACTTATCTTGATCTGCTTCTCATTCCAGACATTACCACCTATGAGACTATCATGCTGATAACTGGTTTTCCTGGATTTAATCTCACTGTAAACTTAAGATAGCAGCAACTATGGATGCATCTGAAGCAGAAGGCTCAACACAGAATCAGGGAAAAGAGGAAGGTGCATCATCAGCTCAAGGAGATGCTGGAGCAAGACCAAAAAAGGCATCTTTGAAAAGAGCTGCAGATGCCAAAGCAAAAAAGAAGCACAAAAAGGCTCGAGTGTCCAGACCTGCCCGGCCTGGTTATACTGTCCATCAAGGGGAAGATATGCTTCTCGTTATATCGAGTTCCACCTCCCAGTATGACGGGTCAGTGTGGACTCTTAAGAAAAAGAAGGGGAGCAAAAAGAAGAAGTTGGCAAAAGGAAAAGGAAAAGCCAGTCAGGTCAAGAAAAAGAAGCCAGTCAATGCCAAGCCCAAACTGGAAAGTAAACCAGTTAAAGAAAAAGAGGAAAAAGTCGCAAATTTGTTTATAACTCAGGAAGAAGACGACCACAGATGGGGCCACAGCCTGCCTGAGGAGGTGCTAATTAATATTTTTCAGATTGTGGTCATTCAAGAGGGAGCAGTGCCCTTTTTATGCAGGTATTGTGTCGTACATGTGATTTATTTGTAATTACACCTATGAGATTAAGACTGAAATGTTGCATACACTATTTTAATCAAAATCATTTCATGCAAGCTAATCATCTTTCACTTACTTCAATACCTTGGATATCAATCTCATAACTTAAAGTCTGAATCTCTCTACATAACCTTTATTATTATTATTATTATTAAGACTGTAAGTTATTTAACTTTATGGATAAACATTAAGAAAACCCTTCAAGGAAATTTCTTTACATGTTTGTTTTGTGCGATTGAACAGTTTAACGCATTCACATTACTATGATAGAACAAGGAGATACTCACATTTAAAAAGCTGTGTTGGATATGCATTTTTCAGCTCTACTTTGGGAAGTAAAAGTTAATGAATCCATCTTCTTCCATTTAATTCAATTCACAAATGATGACTTGTGATGAGGCTGGAGGCTATCCCAGCTGTCATTCATAGGGTCAGAGGCAGGGCACACTCTGGAAGTGTCGATAGTGTGTCACTGGGCTAACATATACAGACACTCAGTGTGAGGAAGCCAGCATACCGACCCAGAGAACCTTCTTGAGGTCAAGTGACAGTCCTAAGCACCGCACCATTTAATTCTTCCTGGTGTTTTTGGTGTAGGGTGGGGAGAGTTTGTCGTCTGTGGAACGCCGCTGCCTCCAGTCCGATCCTGTGGCACAGAGTGACTGTCGGTCACTGCTGGATTGCACCAGGGAGGAGCCAACTACCAAAAACTCAGAAGAAGATTAAGGACACTTTGGACTGGCTGGCACACAGCAGGTTTGTACTTTATTTAGCTTTTTGCTTAAGTCTTAATCATGTAAATGAATTCTAAACTGTGTTGTTTTCTAGATTCTCTCAGCTGCGAGACTTTTCTCTGTGTCACTGGACAAAGAACGTTGATTATGCATTAGAGGTAAGTCATCGAGAATTAAACATTATTTGAAAGATCTTCTCATCTGAAATGATTAGTACATTCATACACATATAAATCCACAAACAAGCTCTCCTCACACAAGTTCAAAGAAAAGAACATAAAAATCATTTCTTAATGTATTTTTAAAAATACAGTAATAGTCAAGACTTACGTTTTCTTGGCAACTGTTTTGATAATCATTGATTATTTTTCTTTGTTGGTAATAATTTGATTTCAGCTTCTCAAGCTTAGAGAGTCTAAAGTTAAAGAATATTTCTGGTGTTTGTTGGAGGCAATTTGAAGTAACTCCCTTTTATATTTTACAGTGAACATATTGATGACAACCTGTAGTGAAAAATGAACTAAGATGTCCATCATTAAATATAATCTGATCCCATAAGCCCCGTATCCCAATAGGATATTGTTTTTGTCCAGAGAGTATTTTTGATTTTCCAGCATATTGATTACATTACATTAAAAAAACCACACTGGTTGCGAATATTTTCTTCCTAGCCTGACAAGACCAGGCAAAATTTAACAAGCCTGAATACAAAATAAGTCTTAAACTGAGAAACTCCCCTTCACACACTGGTGTTTGTTCATTTTGGATCCTGTTCATACATAAATTACAGTTCACTTAAAAACAATATATAAAGGAATAAATGTTTTATTAAAATTTTGGTTTATCTGTATTATTTAATACTTAGTATGTGGCTTTTTTTGAAATCATCATCAGGTTGTGTCGCAGTACTGCCCTGATCTTTGCTCCCTCAAGCTTTCTTACTGCACAGGAGTGACAGCGGCGGCCTTCCGCAGCCTCGGTCTGCACAGCCGCTCCCTGCACAGCTTAAATCTCCAGTATTCAGAGGTACTTGGACCTGTGTAGAGATTTTCTAATAGAAGCCATGCAAAGATCTTTCACTGTGTAATGAAGTTACACAGTGCAATGAATGTGCAGTGTTTTACAGTACAGGGAACGTTTCTCTATGCTTGCTCTAAATTTAAAGTGTAACTTTAAGGGTTTGTCAAGAATTTAATGTTAAGCACTTTAAACAAGATAAGCAGATATTTATGATGAAAAATATCTCAACTGTTTTTACTTGTCTTATATTAACTATATGAGCTTTAAGGGTATTTTCCCAATGCAGATTATCATTTTTTTTTATTCATAAGAAACTTCATCCACTTTATATAGGTGATATATCATAAGGAGAGCTTTTTTCATCCAGGCATGATTGCATGTAGAGAATTTGCAGGATAACTTGCTTTTGCTGTAGTTCCAGGTTGAAGGACTCCTTGAGTATCTTGAAAACCATGGGAGCCAGATCAGGCAAATATTGTTCAGTCATGGACTAAAGAATGACAGACTTCTGGCTGCAATCACTGTAAGACTTTTCTCTCTTTGTTTGTGAAACACGTGCTACACAAAGTCAGTGCTACTGGACAAATGAGCTTAATAAATGCATAGCATTGCTTTTTGTTTTTCCAGCGGGGATGCTGTCCCGATTTGGAGATGCTGGAGGTCAACACCAAGCTTGACAGTAAAGACTGCCAGCTTCCTGTTTGCATCCAGGCACTACAGATGGCATGCCCTAAGCTCAAGGTAAAACAAAGGTCTTCTCTGTTTTAGTGTGACTACATTAGCTTTTTTACATTAAAGTTTAAACTCTTAATTAAGAAGATGAAGAAAAGCAGGCGTTTTATTAATTGTTGATTGATTGTTTATTGTTAATATTTAAATTCCAGCTTTTCAAAGACTTTTTGGATCTCTTGGTTCTTGACTGCTGGTTGAAAAAACAAGGTGCATTTGAAAATATCGTTATGAACCCTGGTTTTATATAATTTTATTTTTTAATTTTTTATTTTAAATGCTACAGAACAGTTATTTAAGTGAGCATGTTCTTCACAATTCCTGCTCCACCTTTTATTCTTGGACTCTAGTAGAATGACTTTATTTCATTGACAGTCTAAAGTAGTTCTTATTCCTCTTATACTTGGCTACTGTGCAGCATGTATGTGACAGAAAATAAGGAAACGCCCAAGTAGCACTAAAGCCAGTAGCTGTAATTTCTTATCTACTGGCACAGTTTGCACTTTGCTAAAGGTTACTTGTTCTCCCGTGATGCTTACGTACTGCTTCCCATCAGACCTTCCGAATGATGAACGTCCAACCTCTTCATAAGGGAATGCGTTTTGGTATCGACCCAACATCAGGCTTCCCATTACTGGAGGAGCTTTGTATCGCAACCACATCGTTTTCCTATTTGACCGACAGAGATTTGAGGGACATTCTCTTCGATTCCCCCAAACTGCGAGTGCTGGACCTGCGAGGCTGTTCTCGAATCACAGCGTCTGGTCTTGCAGCTTTACCCTGTCTAGGTATGTTTGTCAGGAAATTAATGCTTTTTGCTTTATGTCACCAATACCGAGCAGCTCAGTTTGGCTTTTTCAGAATGAATCTATGATGACCTGGAAGTCGGAGTCAGGACAGTTTAGTACAGTTTGTACACAAAATGTGTCTGAATTATTTGAAGGCTTCACATTTTAAAACCATTTCAAACATTTATCTGCTTTATTTTACTGTCTTGTATTTGGCAGAGCTTGAATGTTTGTTCTGGGGACAATATTTCAGCAGCCATGTTGGGCTGTCATCGCTTAAGAAAGGACTTCACACGTTGACCCAAAAATGGAGTCGAACTTTGCAACAGCTGGACATTGCACATCAGCTCTTCACTGAGGAAGACTTGGAGTTAGCAATGAGTTACCTTTGTCAAGCTGAGGCAGACACACTGCGCTCACTGAACTTGAGTGGGACCAGAATTACACCACGTGCACTCAGGTAGTTGTTTTGTACTTACCTCAGTAGCGCCGCAAATCCAAAATAACCTCTTTATTAGACAAAGTGCAACCAAAAAGAACTGAGAATTAATCAGTCGTTCCCATTCACGTCTGTGCTTTGTTTTGCAGGCCAGTCATTGGACAAATGACTGCTCTAGACTACCTCAACCTTTCATCCTGCCGCTATCTCCCAAGAGGTGTAAAGAGGATTTATCGTGGCCAAGAAGACATCCGGCAGCTGCTGGACAAATTGGAATAGCTCTCACATTCATGTGGTTCCAGAAATGAGAAACCAAGTTTACAAGGCAGACTTGAATATCTTAATGCAGGCCTCGCTGTGGGTTATATTGTCTAATCGATGTGAATATTTTGCCCTCAGGACTTTTTTTTTTTGATAGACATTTTTTCTGTCTGTTGTTGGTACGAAATTGACATTTCTGTGTTTGAATGCAAGAAGCAGTAGTTTGCAAACCTGTTACTACTGCATTAATGTCAGGTGGGGGGTTTTGTTTTTTGTTTTGACAATAACCAACACACAATGCGTGACACCTAGTACTGTATATAGATCATTTTATTTGTAAAACTAAGTATTCATTTGCGTGTATCTTTTTTTTTTAAATGTGATTTCTGTTTTTTTTTTTAATTTTTGATCAAAAATAAATGTTTAACATGTCACAAGAGAATCAGGGTTGTATTGGTCTTTATTTCCACTAGAGAGTGCTGTCCTGTCAGTATAAATTTACATTTGTCATCTTAAGGGACTGGTCATACTGGATTCATACCTTGCTTGTAGCAACATGTTTAAGAATAGCAAATACATGTAAACACATGAATGGATCTAAGTGCCTATATGATTTTTCCAATAATGTAAACATGGTCAAAGGAGAGTGTTTGATAATAAAAGACACAATATAGTATTCACTTGTTTATTGGGCCAAATAACAGAATAAACAAAAACAAGGGCAAAAAAAGTATTTTAAATCTACCCACATTCAATTTTTGCCCAAATTTGAAACAGCACTACCCATTTAGGTTAATTAAACTTGGGTCTGTCTTGACTCAACTACTTCCATGAGTGTAAAAGAAACAGAGTCATATGTCCCACAACAACATGAAAAATGGTAAACCATAAAAACAGCATTAAAAATTCAACATTTTAAAAAGCAAAGACATAAAGAGACTTAAGACCTCTTTACTATGTATATTGATTTATATAAAGCTGGGATTTTCAGCTTTACTAGGTGCAAATTAAATGTAAATGCTGAATTTTGGTTACAATAGTGGTTGTAAGCACAGTCTTTGGTTTATATCTCTCAATTAAAAATGTATTAATTCCATTGTGTATGTCAGTTCTGTGACCACTTTCTACAATAAAAACAATTGTTCCATTTTCTTTGGTAATTATAAATGGGTTTTTTTTTCTTTAAAAAAAAACATATATGCATTTATTACACTTCCAAAATTGTACAATAAAAGCAAATAGGCAAAGGTCTTTTGTAATCAATCTCCTGGTTCACATTTTAGTAATGATAATATTGCAGTATATTGTCTTCACATGTTAAGTACAACTTCTAAAGTATCTTTTTTTTAGTTCAGAAGGAAGCTTTTTTTTTAATGCTATATTCAGTTATTGAAGAAGCGAATTGCTGTTCACTTCTGTAGTGGGAAGTAAACTGAGGCCTGTAATGGGATCTGTAATACACCTCTCAACAGATGGAGGTATGTGAGGTTCTCCTTAGTGTTGGGGTCAAAGAAGCCCTTGGTGTCATCATCAGGATCCGATAAAATCTGGTTCATTTCTTCATCAAAGTAACCTCTTTCATATGCCACTTGTACAGGCACTCTGTGACTGTGCACTGGGTCAATTATTCCTCCAGTTGCAATTTGAGCTTCAAGGAGACGAATTCCATGATCTTTCACAATGAGATCTTTTTTCAAGGCCTGGAACAAAGAAATTGTTTTTCCAGTGTACGGATCTTTGTATCCTGTCACTGCCTTTTCTGCTGAGATCAGTTTGTTTTTCCACTCTTTCCCAACCACTCTTTGATCCACAGCTTCCTCTACAGAAAGCTTTTTGTTGTTGACTGGGTCAATGATAAAGCCTGTGGCAGCTTGGGCTTCCAGCAGAACCAGAGATGTACCTGGAGTCAGCAGACCTTTGCTTTTAGCTTCATAGATACTCATTGTCTTTTTGGTGGACTGAAGATAAACTCCTGCAATGCTGTTGGTCCCCTCAAGGTATTTGCGCACTGAATCCATTTCACTTACTTCTGTTACTGTAACTTTTCCAGCGCTAAGATCTTTGTAGAGTTTCTCATCAATGATTTTGGATTTGAGCAGCTCAGTAGCAGAGACATCTTTTCTGATTCCATGGAACTTTTCAACTTCACTAGTTTCTGTAATTGTAGTGGTGATGGTAGTTTTTGTTGTGCTACTGTCTACTTTAGTTTCTGGTGGCTGGGACATGACAATTGAAGAAGATGATGAGGTTGTGTCTTGTGTATGCTGCTCAATGATTGTCAGGATGATTTCTAAAAAGCGCTCTATTGTGATTGATCCAGCCTTGTACTGTTGCACAAGGTCTCTCCGCTTCTCTTCAATTATATATTTGGAGTAGAGTAGATCCCAGAGAGTCACAGTTTTTCCTCTGTATTTTCCTCCAGCTCGGGTTGTTGTTGTAGACTTCAGAATACGTTTAGTTGCCTCGTCCACAAAGAAGTAAAACTCTCCTTTCTTGACAATGACAAGTAAACTGAGGCCTGTAATAGGATCTGTAATACACCTCTCAACTAGATGGAGGTATGTGAGGTTCTCCTTAGTGTTGGGGTCAAAGAAGCCCTTGGTGTCATCATCAGGATCCGATAAAATCTGGTTCATTTCTTCATCAAAGTAACCTCTTTCATATGCCACTTGTACAGGCACTCTGTGACTGTGCACTGGGTCAATTATTCCTCCAGTTGCAATTTGAGCTTCAAGGAGACGAATTCCATGATCTTTCACAATGAGATCTTTTTTCAAGGCCTGGAACAAAGAAATTGTTTTTCCAGTGTACGGATCTTTGTATCCTGTCACTGCCTTTTCTGCTGAGATCAGTTTTTTTTCCCACTCTTTCCCAACCACTCCTTGAGCCACAGCTTCCTCTACAGAAAGCTTTTTGTTGTTGACTGGGTCAATGATAAAGCCTGTGGCAGCTTGGGCTTCCAGCAGAACCAGAGATGTACCTGGAGTCAGCAGACCTTTGCTTTTAGCTTCATAGATACTGAGGGTTTCGTGGGTGGACTGAAGATAAACTCCTGCAATGCTGTTGGTCCCCTCAAGGTATTTGCGCACTGAATCCATTTCACTTACTTCTGTTACTGTAACTTTTCCAGCGCTAAGATCTTTGTAGAGTTTCTCATCAATGATTTTGGATTTGAGCAGCTCAGTAGCAGAGACATCTTTTCTGATTCCATGGAACTTTTCAACTTCACTAGTTTCTGTAATTGTAGTGGTGATGGTAGTTTTTGTTGTGCTACTGTCTGCTTTAGTTTCTGGTGGTTGGGACATGACAATTGAAGAAGATGATGAGGTTGTGTCTTGTGTATGCTGCTCAATGATTGTCAGGATGATTTCTAAAAAGCGCTCTTTTGTGATTGATCCAGCCTTGTACTGTTGCACAAGGTCTCTCCGCTTCTCTTCAATTATATATTTGGAGTAGAGTAGATCCCAGAGAGACACAGTTTTTCCTCTGTATTTTCCTCCAGCTCGGGTTGTTGTTGTAGACTTCAGAATACGTTTAGTTGCCTCGTCCACAAAGAAGTAAAACTCTCCTTTCTTGACAATGACAAGTAAACTGAGGCCTGTAATAGGATCTGTAATACACCTCTCAACTAGATGGAGGTATGTGAGGTTCTCCTTAGTGTTGGGGTCAAAGAAGCCCTTGGTGTCATCATCAGGATCCGATAAAATCTGGTTCATTTCTTCATCAAAGTAACCTCTTTCATATGCCACTTGTACAGGCACTCTGTGACTGTGCACTGGGTCAATTATTCCTCCAGTTGCAATTTGAGCTTCAAGGAGACGAATTCCATGATCTTTCACAATGAGATCTTTTTTCAAGGCCTGGAACAAAGAAATTGTTTTTCCAGTGTACGGATCTTTGTATCCTGTCACTGCCTTTTCTGCTGAGATCAGTTTTTTTTCCCACTCTTTCCCAACCACTCCTTGAGCCACAGCTTCCTCTACAGAAAGCTTTTTGTTGTTGACTGGGTCAATGATAAAGCCTGTGGCAGCTTGGGCTTCCAGCAGAACCAGAGATGTACCTGGAGTCAGCAGACCTTTGCTTTTAGCTTCATAGATACTCATTGTCTTTTTGGTGGACTGAAGATAAACTCCTGCAATGCTGTTGGTCCCCTCAAGGTATTTGCGCACTGAATCCATTTCACTTACTTCTGTTACTGTAACTTTTCCAGCGCTAAGATCTTTGTAGAGTTTCTCATCAATGATTTTGGATTCGAGCAGCTCAGTAGCAGAGACATCTTTTCTGATTCCATGGAACTTTTCAACTTCACTAGTTTCTGTAATTGTAGTGGTGATGGTAGTTTTTGTTGTGCTACTGTCTACTTTAGTTTCTGGTGGCTGGGACATGACAATTGAAGAAGATGATGAGGTTGTGTCTTGTGTATGCTGCTCAATGATTGTCAGGATGATTTCTAAAAAGCGCTCTATTGTGATTGATCCAGCCTTGTACTGTTGCACAAGGTCTCTCCGCTTCTCCTCAGTGATGTATTTGGAATAGAGTAGATCCCAGAGAGACACTGTTTGACCTCTGTATTTTCCTTCAGCTCGGGTTGTTGTTGTAGACTTCAGAATACATTTAGTTGCCTCATCCACAAAGAAGTAAAACTCTCCTTTCTTCACAATAGACAGTAAGTTAAGCTCTGTATTTGGGTCTCTGACGCACCTCTCAATCAGCTGGAGATATGTGAGGTTCTCCTGAGTGTTGGGGTCAAAGAAGCCCTTGGTGTCATCATCAGCATCAGATAAAATCTGGTTCATTTCTTCATCAAAGTAACCTCTCTGATATGCCACCTGTATGGGGACTCGATGGCTATGGACTGGATCGATTATTCCTCCAGTTGCAATTTGAGCTTCAAGGAGACGAATTCCATGATCTTTCACAATGAGATCTTTTTTCAAGGCCTGGAACAAAGAAATTGTTTGTCCAGTATAGGGATCTTTGTATCCTGTCACTGCCCTTTCTGCTGAGATCAGTTTTTTTTCCCACTCCTTCCCAACCACTCCTTGAGCCACAGCTTCTTCTACAGAAAGTTTCTTGTTGTTGATTGGGTCAATGATAAAGCCTGTGGCAGCTTGGGCTTCCAGCAGAACCAGAGATGTACCTGGAGTCAGCAAACCTTTGCTTTTAGCTTCATAGATGCTCATCATCTTTTTTGTTGATTCAACTCTCACACCTGCTATACAGTTTGTTGCTCCAAGATACTTCTGAATATTTTCCATTTTGACAACAGTTTCTTCTGTTACTTCACCTTTTATAATTTGGGTGAAAAGGTCCTTTGAGATGATCTTTGACTCAAATAATTCACTGGCTGAGACTTGTTTTCGTAGTCCTTTGAACTTTCTTTCCTTGGATGATACCTCTGTGACTATAACTGTGAGTATTTCAATCATCTCCTCAATTTTGGTCACTCCTGTCCGGTATTGCTGTATAAGCTGCTCCCTTTTTTGTTCTGATATGTATTCAGATAGCAGCACTTCCCACAGTGTGACCTCCTTGTTTTTAAATTTTCCCACATTCAAGGTCATCATTTTGTTTTTCAAAGCATGCTCGATTTGCTCATCTGTGTGAAATACACGGCCTTTTTCTTCATGCAGCGGTAGAAGAAGTAGCCCAGTTTTATCATCTTTCTCACATCTATTCATGAGCTGACTGTATGACAGTTTTTCTTTGGTATTTGGGTCAAAGAATCCTTTTTCATCATCTGTGGGGTTCAACAGAATTTTTTGAGTTTCTTCATCCAGACATCCTTTTTTGATAGCAATATGAATTGGCAGTCTGTGACTTTGATTTGGGTCAATAATTCCTCCTGTTGCTATCTGCACATCAAGTATCCGAAGGCCATAGCTTCTTTCTCTCAGCTTTTTTTGCATGGCTTCAAACAGTGATATTGTCACATCTGTATATGGATCTTTATACCCAGTGACAGCTCGTTCAGCTGAGAGAAGTTGCTCACGTACATCTGGCCCAATCAGTCTTCCTTTTACAGCCTCTTCCACAGCATGGAACTCATTTTTGAGGGGATCAATGATCCATCCTGTTGCAGCTTGAGCTTCAAGTAGTAGAAGTGCAATGCCAGGTGTCAACAGGTCTTCATTTCTTGCTTCATATATGCTCATCACTTTCTGGGATGGATAAACCTTCACTCCAGCAATGCTTCCAGATCCTTTTAGGTATCCTCTCACAGGTTCACTCTGCGCTATTGTTTCTAAATTGAGTTTTCCTTCTTTCACCTGTTTAAATGTTTCTGCATCAATGATTTCAGAATCCAGTAGTTGTTTTGCAGTGACATGCTTTCTCAGACCCATTATCATTTTGGGAGTTTCAGTCTTCTCCAGTTTTTCTATTGTGGTTATCACTAATGTGATTATGGTCTGGGTACTAATCTGCCTTGTTCTGTACTTTTCAATCAGTTCAAGTCGCTGATCCTCAGTAAAGTAGCCAGAATGAATCAAGTCCCATAGAGTAACCGATTTTCCAGAATAGTGTCCTACAGATATGCTGACACTTGTCTTTTCAAACTCTTCCTTAATCTCTGTGTCAGAATACATCTTTTTCTTTGTAGCTGTAGCTTTTGGTGTGTCATTCAGTGGCAGGAGAAACAGTCCAGTTTCCTTATCTTTCACACATCTCCCCAACATCTCCATGTATGTCAGATTTTCTTTTGTGTTTGGGTCAAAAAAGCCCTTTGTGTCATCAGTTGGGTCTGTTAGGATTTGATTAAGTTCTTCATCAAAATATCCCTTCTTGTATGCAACTTCAAGGGGTAAGTGGAGACACTTTAAGGGATCGATGATACCACCTGTAGCAATCTGGGCCTCAAGTAAACGAATGCCATGCTGGTTGACAATAAGATCTTTTTTCAACGCTTGGAAGAGCGAGATCTTCTGACCTGTGTATGGATCTTTGTAACCAGTGACTGCTCTTTCCGCAGACAAAAGTTTTTCATACATCTGTGGACTAATCAACTTTTCTTTGAGAGCTTGTTCAACTGTAAGTTTTTTGTTATTCAGAGGATCAACAACAAATCCTGTAGCTGCTTGTGCTTCAAGGAGGCAAAGGGCAGTCCCAGGTGCAAGAATGCCAATTCTCTGTGCCTCGTGAATGCTTAGTTTTTTATTTGAAGGTTGCAGTATCAACCCAGCTACACAGCTTTTTCCTTGTAGGTAGGCTCTCACACTGTCCATTTTCATCACATCACTGCTGGTCATGTTTCCAGTGATCAAACTGTTGTAGGTGTTTTTATCCACAATTTTAAGATCCAAAAGATCCACAGCAGAGACTTCTCCTCTGAGACCTTCAAACTTCAGTCCTTCTTGCTGTCGTATCTCCTTACTCTCAATGATCTCTACAATGGTCTCAGTTAGTTGCTGAATTGTGATTTTCTTTGACCTGAAGAGCTTGAAAAACTCCTGTCGTTTGTCTTCAGACAGATATTCTGAGTTGATAAGATCCCACAATGTTGTGCGTTTGCCCTTGAACCTACCGTACTTTACAGTAACTATTGTTGTTTTAAACAATTCCCTAATGTTGTCATCTACCTTTATTTTGTTGCTCTTGCCTTTGAGAGGTAAGAGGCACAGGCCGGTACTAGGATCTGTTACACATCTGGCCATGAGCTGCAAGTATGTCAGGTTCTCGTGGGTGTTGGGGTCAAAGAATCCCTTGGTGTCATCACTTGGATCATCCAGGATCTGATTCATTTCTTCATTAAAGTACCCCTTCTTATAAGCCACATGGACAGGTATGCGATGGCTGTTCACTGGGTCGATGATCCCACCAGTGGCAATTTGGGCCTCCAGGAGCCTAATGCCATGGTCTTTTAGGATCAGGTCTTTTTGCATTGCTTGGAACAAAGAAATTATTTCTCCAGTGTATGGATCTTTGTATCCAGTAACTGCTTTCTCTGCCGATCGCAGCTTTTGACACACATCAGGCCCCACAATCTTTGCTTTGACAGCATCATCAACTGAAAACTTTCTATTTCCAATAGGGTCAATAATGAACCCTGTTGCTGCCTGTGCCTCCAGTAGAATCAGAGCAGTTCCTGGCATCAGCTTTCCTTTCTGTTTGGCCTGGTAGATGGTCATGATTTGAGAATCAGGAAGCATAATACCTGCGATGCTGTCTTTACCTTTTAAGTACACATTTACATTTTCATCTTCAATGACTTCCTTCACTGACTTCTTTCCCTTCTTCAGGTCCTCTAGGACCTCCTGACTAATGATATCTGCTTCCACAAGCTGCTTGGCTGTAACAGTGTCTCTGATACCTTCAAAGACGACTTGAGTTGTTTTCACTGACTTTTCTATCACTTCCAGAACTGTTGTAATGATCATCTTGATAGTTATCTTCCCCTCTCTGTATTTTCGAAAGATGTCTTGCCTCTGGTTTTCATCAAAGTATTCTGACATCAGAAGTTCCCACAGAGATACTGTCATTCCTGTATATTTGCCATATGTCACTTTCACTTTCTCCATCTTGAAGGCTGTTTTAGTTTGGTAGTCAATGAAATCAAAATTTAGCCCATCTGATTTATCACGCAAAGGAAGGAGGCAGAGTCCAGTAGCAGGATCAGTGACACACCTTTCCATCAACTGAAGATAGGTTAGATTTTCTTCTGTGTTTGGATCAAAAAAGCCTTTTGTGTCATCCCCTGAATCCTCCAATATGGCATTCATTTGTTCATCAAAATAACCTCTCTTAAAGGCCACTTCTGTAGGAAGTCTGTGACTGTTGATTGGATCAATTATTCCACCTGTAGCAATTTGTGCTTCAAGTAGGCGGATTCCATGTTGTTTGACGATGAGGTCTTTTGAGAGTGCTTGAAACAGGGATATAGTTTCACTGGTGTATGGGTCTTTGTATCCGGTCACTGCCCGCTCAGCAGAGAGCAGCTTTGCATGATATTCTGGGCCAATAAGTTTGCTTTTGACAGCTTCATCCACAGTGTACTTTTTATTTTCTACAGGATCAATCATGTATCCAGTAGCAGCTTGTGCCTCCAAGAGAACAAGTGATGTCCCAGGCATCAGTATGCCTTGCTTCATGGCTTTATAAATGCTCATTCTCTGATTGGTTGAGAGTATAGCAATGCCTGCAATGCTGCCTTTGCCTTCCAGGTATTCTTTCACTGTTTCAATCAACATCACGTCCTGTGTTGTGGTCTTCCCCTTTTGCAGGTTATCATATGTTTCTTTGTCGATGATCTTTGATTCAAGGAGCTCGGTGGAGGAAATGCCTTTGCGCAGACCTTTGAAGGTGATGCAGACAGGAAGAAGCAACAGGCCTGTATCGGGCTCCACGATGCATTGCTCTTGGAGGCCTCTGTAGTTAAGATTTTGTTGCAAAGTTGGATGATAAAACACTCTGAGCTCTGACATTTGGTCCTTCAGCAAATCTTTTTCATAGTAGCCCTTCTGAATTGCAGAGTCAACTGAAATATTTGTCTTATCGACAGGATCAAACAGGCCTTTTGTGGCTATCTGTGCTTCCAGCAGCCTCAATCCATAATCTTTTGGAACTAAATCTTTTTGCATAGCTTGGAATACAGATATCATTTGGTTGGTGTAGGGGTCTACATACCCAGTGATGGCTTTTTCTGCTTTAAGGAGTTTGTCTTTCATCTCTGATCCAACTATTCCCTTTTTAACAGCATCCTCTACAGGAAGCTTTTGGTTGTTTACTGGATCTACAATACCTACTGTGGCAGCTTGTGCTTCAAGCAGAGCCAGTGCTGTTCCTGGCTTAAGCATACGCTTCTTCATGGCTTCATATATGGTTATCTTTGTCTTTGTCTTTTCCAGAAATATACCAGCCACAGGTTCATGGACTTTTGTGCAGGCATTTTGCTTCACACCGCCGTCCTTAAGGTTGGTGTCCATCTTGACCTAAAGGGCTGTGTTAACACATAAACAGTTACAGAGCTTGTTTTGTATATGGTATTTTATGCATTGTAAGTAATTGTAAAGCACAGCTCTAAGATACATTTGGGCACACTGCAGTTAAACTGATTATAAAATACACATGTATTGATTTGTATGTTAAAAAAAAGAAAGAAAAACTTGTCAGGTTTTTATACAGTTATTTTTTTTATACACAAATTATTCAGACGTTCACCAAATTAGATGCAGTAAGACATTTTGTCAAAAAATTTCTTTTACTACTGCTGTTTTGCGCCATAATGCAATTTCTAACGTTACATGTTTGACAGTGACATTGTTATGTACTAACTGTAAAGCTATTTTCCCTTGCCACAAGGGGTCGCCACAGCAGCGAGCACCACAAGATTAATTGGGCAGAGTTTTATGCTGGATGCAACAGTGACCTTTCACTAGTAATAGAGACTAATGTGATAGAGAATATACTCCAGCAAGGTAGAGAAGGTTGTAGAATAGTTTGCAATGACAAATAGTACTGAAGTCTGGTAAAATTAACACATTAGTATCCAGCATAACTCTGAATCGCTTAAATAACTTAATAACTAGTCTGGAGCAATTGAAATTGAAATAGATGGTAATTAGTTTTATTTCTATTAATTGTAGTGTAAGTTTTGGAATATATTATCTTCCAACTGTAATATCAAACCTTTCAATTTCCTTAGGAGTACGTGGACAGCCTTGGATGCTCTCTGTTGTTCCAAAATACAAGATCCAACGCCAGTGGCTTCCTGGTTTTTACGATCTCAGGGCTTTGAAACTCCGTCCCTGGAAAGATAAGGCGGTTGTAATAAGTTTAATCTTAAACTTTGTGTTAATGATTTGATATTGAAATTAGTTTATGACATTTCTCATGAACTTTCTAAATCACATATGGGTAAAATACACACCATTTCATCACTGACCTATGCAGACTGCATATGAGACAATCGACAGGATGTAGGTAAAACGTTTTTTTTTTCCTACTATGTTAGTAATACTTTAATTATAAGTTGTTACCATGACAATTATTCAAGTCTGTATGGCTTGCTTGCAAACAACTACTGTCCATGACTGACCCACCCACCCCATAAAAATAAAGCCTAACTGTACTGTCTGTGTGTATGTGTCTTATAAACCCATGTGGGCAGGTCTTTTGTTTTTTGTTTTCTAATAGTTTTTCTTATCATTTCATCATGTCCCTGCACAGATTCAACAACAAAAGAAACTATTAATTACATATTGTGTGAGAACGTCCCCCATTTGCTTTTGGCAATAATAATGGTGTGTCAAAACTGGAACAGCCAGATGCCCTGTTTTGCAACAACATGCAAAGGAAAACCAATAACTGCAAATACAAGAGTTCATATCTCTTGCAATCCTGTGCACCAGAGTCTAAATCTGCAGAACTTTGTTTTGGGTTCCAGTAGAGATTAAAAGTTTTATAAACTTGTGGCTGAGTTTTGTTTGCCTGTCAGACCCTCATTTTTTATGTCTAGCCAGAAAAAGTCACAAAAGAGCTAAAGTCACCATGGCATAAAAATATCAGCTTCAAGGTAAAATAATATATAAATGTTTTAAAAAACCGAAGCGATTTGCATTCCGGTCCAGTATTATTTAGATTAGAGATTAGATTAGATAAAACTTTATTAATCCCTTTTAAATTTAAAGAACCCCATTTAAATCCCCATTTAAAGAACTTATAAAGAGCTTGTTTACAAATTCTACAACATAACCCAAATTTATACACATCCACTTGTACTTAGGGTACTAAACTGAAAAACAGGGAATAATAAAAGCAAATGTATAACCTTTAAGCATATTCTTATGTGGTACATGAGATGTTACTGTACTGAAAAAGCTTTACAAAGAGATTTTCAAAAAAATCTCAGTTAATTATTCTCATAGCTAGTAATTACTATTGCATACAAAAATGTAGTGATTTCTATGTATGTGTGGATGTGCAGATGTATGTACAGGTGCATGTTAGCTTCCCATGACCTCATACTGTTTCTGTTTTTTCTTTTTCTTTTTTTTCTTTTATCTTGTTGCATAAAAATGTTCCTAAACAAATAAAAAGTGTCAAAAAAAATGTAGTGATTTCACAATTTTCTGAGAACCAGTCTTTCAGCCTTGTGGGGGTTGGTAACTGTCACAAATGATGTCATAACACCTGTGGGAGTCAACACAATAAGGCTCAGAAAAAAAGGGTGTGAACTGAAACTCAGCCAATCTACTCAGAAACATGTTAACTGTTAAGTCACAGATAAAGCTCCACTGTGTATGTGATTATTTTCACTTGTTTACTGTGGTAAAGTGTTTGGTTTAGGCTGTGTGAGCTGCTCTACCTGAGAAGTGTATTTAACAGCTGTTATTGATAATGTGGCAAAAAGATGCTCCAAGTAACCAAGATAAGCAGAGTAACACAAACAGCTGTGGATCTGAGGTCTGCTGAACTCTTTATTTGTACAAGAGCAGCAGGTCTGTGGCAGTTCGGTATCTCTACCTGCAAGTGCTCAATTTACATCTTGAGTTCGTCACCCACTTTGTAAATATTTGAATGTTTTTGAAGCTGTCAAGCATTTACTGTACATTTATGGCACCATCTGAATTTGCTTGTCATATCATAAAGGCAAATACATTTCCTGCACAAAGTTAACAAGTTACCTAACTCTGCAAACACAGCTTCACTGTTTACTGGTCTCTCCACTAAATGCCTTTTCCTCAGTGAAGGAAGGCACTGTCCATTCAATGCAAGAGCAGATATAAAATAAATGACTTTTTAAAAGATTTTGCTTTCTTTTTTGTCTTTATAAGACCTCTAAGCACAACTGAGTGTATATTCAGAGGCCTCTTTATTAGGTATGATCTGCCACATGTGTGTATTTCATCATAAAGTTCCATTTTTAGTGACACTGTTGCAAATGTGGAAATAGAATTATCTAGTACTCTTAGTTACAGTTGATCTTAGTCAGACTTGGTTTGCAGAGGTGTTTCTGGGCTTTATTGTTGGCACCAGCATACATGACACACCCCTGAACATACCAGACTCCAGCAAACAACTCTGGAACCTCAGCGCTAAAAAACATAATTGACTTCACAGCTGTGTGATGGTGTTAAGGAGAACTGATTAAAGGCCTCACTAATGTAGAACTAAAGTCAAAAGAGCATTTAGTTACATTAGACTATACAGTAGTACCATAACAAAGAATCACTTTTGTGAGCTCTGACTTCTGTATTTTCTTGTAAAGTTAAATTATTTACTTTGATTTTAGATGAGGAAAGTCTTAAAAACCACAAGTAACAACTGATATAAAATAGTACCAGTTCAGTAAGAAAGTGGACTATATACTTCCTAAGGAATATATAATCACGCGACATGAACGAGTTATGATAATCCTAACTGTAAATCTTTAGGCTGAGCCAAGGATCTGTCTGGATGACAAGATGTTGGCATTGATAAACAGCTAATCTAGCATGCTTTTGTGGAGAATCAATAGAGCAGTATTAAGATTGACACTGAACTGCAAATTGCTCACAACTTTCTCTCACTTGTAGCAACAAGCCTAATTACATCCTATGTGCACTTCAGCCATTGTGGTGCATTTTTAATGCCACCCCAGCAATAAAATACAACTTACTGGCTAGGAATGAATGAGGCAATATAGTACCACTGATTCAGGCGTTGCACAACAGTTTTTGTAGCTGTAACTGCGGAAAGTCTTGGAGTCATTGTGTAAATAGATCCCAGGGTGATGTCAGCACAGTGTTTAGACTTGTTGAAAGCCTCATTAGTGACATACGGGCACATTTATTTTACCAGCGGCGGTCAAAGGTGATCAGTGAGGAATGTGCGCATTCCCTTTTATCTGAGGGTGTTGGCTAACAGGACAGGATAGACACACGTTCTGCTTCCTCTCGCTTTACTTTGCCAATGCAGTCTCCACTTTCTCACTCTGAAGAAAATAATTTTCTAAATGTGGTTCCAGTTTTATGTAAACGCAACTCAAGGAAAAAGTTTGTTTTCTTTAGAAAAACCAAAACAAAGACACTACTGATTTTTACACAACCAAACTAAAAAAAAGATTTTAAATAAACTTGCTCTTACCCAAACGTGCTTGGATGATATCCCAGCTCTGCACCGGCGAGCGTTCAGCTTCAGCTGGTATGAAAGATACCACAACCCTGAAGTGCTCCCAGCATCTCAGAGGTATTCACTCCTCAGTGGTCAGATATAAGGCAGGGCCAGCTAAGCCCCTCCCCTGTTGAGGTTCAGCCTCCTCGTCTGGGGGTGTGAGAGTGAGACAGCCGGAGATCCTTTGCACTGAGCTCAGGATGCCAGGAATTCCTGCAGACTTCCTCGGAGCATGTCTATTGTGCTCTAAAACAATAAGGGTGAGCAAATTGATTCTTTCTAAGTGTACAAAAGGTAAGGAGATTTATTAAAGTTATGCATAAGATAAAGTAAGCTTTGTTGACTGTACAAATTCTTAAGAGTCGTGAAGGTTCTTCACAAGGGTTTCATTCACTTTCCTAGTCAATATTTTTTACTTTTCACAATGTGTAAACTGGACTTGGTGCGACGCTTCCTTATCAAGCCGGCCAGGTTGTGACATGCAGAGCCGGATGCCCTCTGATTACACTGAGCTTTGTCCTTGTATTACAGCTTCCCTCAGGTTTGGCAGGTTTTCAAGTGTGGAAAGAAGAAACCCGACAGGCGTGATTGGCTTTTCTATCTTACTAACAAGAAAAAGTGTGTCACAAAACAGACTGTACGGAAAACACCTGTTGTTTGTTGTAAACCAGATGCAAAGACATTAGTCACATAAAAATGATAACGTCAATGTCTTATGACTGACATGTTTGTGGAAACTGTCTGAAAACCTTGTGATAAATCAAATTCCACAGATGTATGTGAGAACATGTTATGGGTAAGTAATTAATGGGTTTGTTTGACAATTTTTACATGCACGCTCCAAAGTTATTTGACAAATTGGCTTGTTTATATTTTAACTATATCTATAATCTAAAATAAAACCCAAATACAAACATATTGCATATCCTTTAAACGGACGGAACATTAAGTTTCACATGTAATTACCAAGTAATGTCAAATGAGTATATAAGGAAACTGCCGTTTGTTTCCATCACCTACGTGTGGATTTTCACACCAAGAACAAACAGACAATGAAGATTAAAGTTAAGTTTTGAGTATTCTTACATTTTTCACTGTTGTTGTCGAGTGGCAAAAGTCAGGTGTGGTGGTCTCAAGTTTCTCAAGAACACAATGTGTCAAAAACATGCAAGTGGCCTTCAAAGATTACAGATGAGCGCACTCCCTCTGCGTGACTTGAAATCTCAGAGAGTGACATTATAATTGAGCAAACTAGAATTTCTGCCGTAGGCTAACAGACAAATCACTGCATAATAATAGCTTTGCTTTGCTAACATTTGAATTGGCAAAGAATGACAGATATATCAACACAAATATGCAGGAAACTAGGTTGGTGAGCCAAGGACACCCAATTATTAAAATGTCACTCATAATTAATCAGAACAAGTAACTAAAATTACAAAACAGATTAATTTAACTTTGTTCATGCAACATAATATACGTAAAGGATTCAAAGCAAGTACAAAGTAGTGAATAAAATATCTGAAAAAGCGCAGTGAATTTAACCAAAACTCTACAAATGTTTCTAATGATGTGCCTTTTCAATAGTTTCTGTCACAGACCAAAATATATATACTCAATGGCCATTTCATTAGTAACACCTTGCAGTAGCATATGATGTGAATGTGATGTGACTGGTACATGTGTGGTACTTACATGGCTCATCCACCACAGCCCAAAGGTGCTCTACTGGATTGAGATCTGGTGACTGTGGAAACCATTTGAACTCACTATCATGTTCAAGAAACCAGTGTAAGAGCTGAATACTGAATATATTTGTGAGGTTTGCACAATGCTCAGTTGGTACTAAGAGGCTGAAACGGTGCCAAAATATAAGAAAATTTAAAAAATATATGAGAAAGTTTTAGTCAGCTGTTGGTCACTCTTAATCTTTTTATTTTGTTCATTTTATTCATTGTATATCTTATTGTCTAATTTACTCATGTTTTAATATTTAATATATATACTGATTTATTTTTATCTTCTTTTTCATTTATGTATTTATTTTATTGTTATTTAAATTTATTTCTTTGTCTGCTTAATGTATGGTTTTAACTGCTATCTCTGTTTTATTATTGGAAAGCACTTTGGTCAACTTTGTTGTTTTTAAAGTGTTATATAAAAAAGTTGGATTGGTTTAGAAAAAGAAAGCAAAACCCGAAAACTACAAAATGAGAACATAAAAAATGCACAGACAGAGAATTCCAAATAAACAAGGATTTAAAGACCCAAACCAAAAACGTCCGGATCCGACACGTGCGAAGGACAATGAGAGGTAAATAAAGTTAAATAATGTGGGAGAAACAGATCTAGTTTAGTTCCAGTGTTGATTTGTGTCAGGTGAATGTGTGAGTAGGCAACTATTTGAAAAAACATGAAAAATATGTCTGTGTTATTTTAACAGCTTATTAATAAATGGACTGACATTTATATAGCACTTTTCTACTCTGAGCACTCGATGTACTGCTCCAACACTCTTTAACCCTTTTAACCCATTTGTACTAGCTTGCTTTTCACGGTATACCTGAGCATCTTGTCTAATGGTCACACTCACACTCCGATGGAAACATCGAGGGCAACTTAGGGTTCAGTATCTTAGCCAAAAATATATTGATATGAAGACTGGAGATTTATTCTAACTCCTAAACCACAGTGGCCCTAGGCCCTGGGTTTTCACAAATTTTTTTTTTTCACAGCTCTGCAGGCGTGATGAATTTCGCTTTTATTGTTTACCTGCTAAAATCCTGCAAGCTTCCACTTAAATCCAAAGCATGGGTCTAAGCATGTTGCCAAAAAAGCAGCCAGGTCTTTCTAAGGAAAATTGTAAGGTGTATTTAGTGCACGGTTGTGCATTTAATCTGTTACAGTTATTTGTGAAATATTATTTAAAGTGTTAATGGGAAATTTCTTATCCATAAGCTCTGAGTTAAGAATAAATACAAAAAAAGGGCTTCAGCACTATATTTACTGTGCTTATGAATACTTAATCTACAAGTGCAATACTATCTACAGGTGTAAACATATTGACATATGTTTCCAACACTAACTGCTCTAAAGATGTGCATAATTTTCAGCATTTCAGGAGTGAGGAAAAATCCAACATGCAGAGTGGAGGAGCAAAATTTCTGATTGGCAAATGATCCACTCCACCTCATCAACCAAAGCCAACCATAGGCAAAAAGTTTTCATGAGCATAGATTTTTTGTTTTAATTGGATGACAGAGAAATTTCACTTTTATTGATTCCCTGGTAAAATCCTGCAACCTTCCACTTAACAGAGTTTTGGTAGAAATGCCGACAGATCTTTTCAGGCAAAATTCAAAAGTACCTTCCATCTCTGACCAGATCAGCTGCGAGGGGGCAACTTCAGCATATTTAATGAAGATGCAACTCTCGCTCTCTTTTTTATAGGACAATTTTTTCAATCACAAATTTCAAGCAACAATATAATGATCTATTGTACTTACAATATCGAAACTTCAACAGTTTAGTGCAGGAGTGTCAAATGTGTGGCTCACGGGCCGGATATTATTGTATAAGAGATCATTTCATGTATGTCAGTTAATAATGGCTTGTTGGTATGTGGGAGCTTAATCTTCAGCCCTGCTGAAACTCCATGCAGGCAGGGGTGGGACTTTATTTTGATGGGCACACCATCAAAAGGAAAGAAGGGGGCAGATGTTCCAAAGACAGCAGGTGTGCAGGCCAGGTGCACAGAGATAAATGCAAGTGTGTCAGGAAAAAGTGAAAAAATGAGCAAAAGCATAAAACGAGTAGCATCTGGCTGCATTTCAATGATATTGGAGACTGGAAAGCTGAGTGAAGAAATTATAAAATTAGGACCTGGCTATAGTGATACCTTTTTATTTTCAGCAATCTAAAAAGGTTTTAATTTTGTCCAGGCCTTAAACCTCATGTGTGTTCTCCCTAGTAATAGCAATTGCATAAATATGAGGCTGAATCTAAGTTTATCTCAGTTTAACTATAAATTCATCTCCGCTACACTTGACGTAACTTAACTCTGACCATGAAACCACAGCCACTGTGCACCACTCACACACTGTTCTTTACTTTCAATCCATCACAGTACAGCAAACTAACCTGTTTATCCTGGGGATTTATATGGGAACGTCACACACTTGTTTTTAATGTTTAATACAAGACTTTTTTTCTACCTGGTGTGCAGTTACAGGGTTTAGTAACGATTAATTAAGTGTAATCAAAATTATGCAATCAAGGAATATATGACGCAGACCCAAGGATGATATATTGTGCTGAAGTATGTGTAAGTAAATGACTCTTCATCATTAAATGTAATTACGACATGCTTTGTTCCATTTTAGTTCGTTTAAAACACCAGTCTGAGCTAAAAAGTTGGAGCCGTCATTTAAGACTCTATTTTGCCAAAGCTAGAGTTCCTTCTCGGGACCCTCTCCATGTTTTACATCGAAGCTAATCACATAATCCAAAGACCAGCCCGGCCCATGCTTTTGTGGCAGCTAAAGCGACTTGCTCTCCTGTGCCAAATTTGCATTCTTTTACACTTATCAACCATCATCATCATGTTCAGTGTTGTGTGGCAAAACCTGGGTGTGGTGATCGCACACCTCTGAAGAAAGGATGTGTGAAAATCATCATGGAGAAGGAAATTTGGTTTAAATACGGGAACACAGCTTTGTATGAATATAAATTAGGCTGATTCATTCTTAAGAGGTCACACTGACAGGCTTTGACAGGGGACTTGAACAGGAGTTAGCATTTCATCTGACACACTGGGACACATGTGGGCAAGCTGAGACTAAGCTGGCATAACGAGTCAATGAAGGAACAGTTGAGATAGAAATGACAACTATGTTTTGTTTGAATTAGTCACTAAAGTTATAAAATAGCCTCACCTAACTAATGATTTTAACTGCAACCTTATGCAAGATGTGCATGAAATGCATAGTTAGGTGTGGTATCTTAAAAAGTAAAAAGAAGAGGGCAACATTTATTTTTATTTTTTTGTCAATATGTAAAATGAGTAGAGTGATAGTGGATCAGAGGAGGCAGGTGGCTGAAG